TGAGTTTTGAATAACAATGCATACATTTGTATTCGGTATCAAAAAATGGGAAGATTTCGTTGGTCACATTTAGTTATAGGAATTATTTTTAACGTCGAAATGTTTAATTATCTGTATTTGCCCCCACCTTCGTAGTTCGAAAATTCGGCGCCGTCGTCCAGAATGCATAGTAGAATCGTACGTCATTTAGAGGACGTGAATCGTCCCAGTATGATATGCGCAGGTCGCTAAGCACTACTACAACCATGTGCGGCGTTACATGTCTATATTCGCTTTGTTTAACAGTAACAGGGCAGCCTTTGTGCTATTGAAAAATCAAAGCACACCTTTGTATTCGGTATCAAGAAATGGTAGGATTTCGTTGGTCACATTTAGTTTTAGGAATTATTATTAAGGTCGAAATATTTAATTATCTGTATTTTCCTCCACCATCGTAGTTCGAAAATTCGATGCCACGTGCGGAATGCATAGCAGAATCAATCTCCATTAGAGTACGAATACCGCCGCAGTATGTTATGTGAAAGGCGCGAAGAAATACTATCGCCTAGCCGACGTTATATGTGCCCATTCGCTTCGTTTAAGAGTAACAAACCAACCGTGTATGATATTGAAGAACCAAGCACACCTTTATATTCGGGATTATAAAATTGTAAGATTTCGTTGTATACATTTAGCTGAAGGAATAATTTTTAAAGTGAAATATTTCATTAATTGTATTTGCCACACCATCGTTGTTCTTATATTCGAAGCCGTGGTCCAGAATGCATAGCAGAATCGTACGCCATTTAGAGTACGACAATTGCCGCAGTATGTTCTGTGAAAATCGCGAAGAACTATTATTCCCTAGCCGACGTTATAGGTGCACATTCGCTTCGTTTAACAGTAACACGGCAACCGTGTGAGATATTTAAGAACCAAGCACAACTTCTTTTTCGGTACCAAAAAGAGGCAAGAATTCGTTGGTCACATTTAGTTTTAGAAATTATTTTTCACGTCGAAATATTTAATTATCTGTGTTTGCCCCCAACATCTTACAAGGAACGTTCTCGATCGGTCCGGTTTCGATTTTGATGAAACTTTGTACACTTATAAAGCAGTCAAAAATAATCGACACGTATTTTTTTTTAGCTGCGGTAACTCGAGTTTAAGGGGTGAAACCACCCCTTGAAATTTTGGCTCGAAACGGCTATCTCGAAAACGGTAAGTCATACGAAAAAATTGTTAATGGGCGAGGTTAATGGTTTCTGACGTACAATAACATGGTGTTAAAAAATTTAACAAAATACAGTTTGTTTATAACAAAAAAAAATTTATTAACTTAATTTTTCATTTTCTTGAAATTTTCATAATGACAAAAAATGACGAGCATTTTATTCCAAATCCATTAGTATATAACATTTTAAAATTGCCTCTTACAGTTTTGCAGATTTTGATGATTTACATCTTGCGCGCACATCCACTATGGTAGTAGCCGTTCTAACTTTCATTTTAATGAAGCATTGTAGGCTTGCACTAAATTATACAGTAACAAGTAACAAGTAACAATGACAGTAACATGTTTCTTAACAGCAAGGAAAAGATTAATTGTTTTTATTAGTCACCTATGACATCGTGGCAAAGATGGAGCGATTTATAAATTATAAGTACATACAGTGTGTATAGCAATTATTCTGTAGGAAAATACTATAATATAAATGTAGGAAATACTTGCTTGGTCCGTCTCTCCCGCTGGTCCATCTCTCCCGAAATTACCCTATCAATTCTGGTTGAACCCCATAGGGTATGGTGGTTATTAAAATCTCCCAATAGTATAAACGGTTTAGGCAATTGTTGGATTATATTTTGAATTTCAGTTGTTTCTAGGTTTGGCTGTTCGGTAGATAGATATTACATACACATATTTTCTTATTGGGAGGGAGGAAAGTAACTGCAACTATGTACTTCAAGATTTGTTTTGAGTGGGAATTCCGATGAGGTAATGTTGTTTCTGACAGGGGTAGCCCCTCCCCCCGTTGTACGAGTGGCATTCTGTCGGTTGTTTTGGTAGATTTTGTATTTGTTGTTCTTTGCCTGATAATTGTTTTTGAAATTTGTCTCTTGGAGGCATATAATTTCTATCATTTATTATTATCTGTAGTTTTTCATAGCGTTGAAAAAGACCATTAATATTCCATTGAATTATGGTTTTCATTGTTTTACGGCTGTTTCTGGGCAAATTATTTTGCTAGGTTTTCATATCCGCGATGAGCTGCTCTCAAGTTTCTCTCCAGGATTCTCAAGTGTTTTGCAAAGTCGATGTATCCTGCTCTTTATGCTTCACTCTTTTGACATAGGGTATATTTCTTTAAGCATATGAGTGAATGCGGGCATGTCACTGGTGTAACTTTTTGCAACTTTTAATGGGAAAGGTATTCCAAATGAGTTTTCAAGGAAACCTTTGAGTTTGGTGTAGTTTAATATATACATTTGGCCCTTTACTGGTGATAACATTTCTTCCAGTTGTAGGTGGTCAAATGCTGGTAATATTGGGCGTATCTTCTTCTTAGTAGGAGCGGTTTCCTTTGGTGGATTGAATGAGGTGGCAAGGGAGGGAGATGAAGCGATGTTTTAAGCTTACTCATTCCTGGTAATTATCGTTTGATGTTAACGACAGGGCTCTTTTGGTGCCGGTGAGATTTATGTATATGTGATTCTGTCCGTAGGTTAATTGATGTTCTGCTGCCGTTTGGGTAGGAAGCCTCTAATAGGGTAGGAAGTGTTATTGCTGATGGTTTATTGATTGGGTTTGATTTGTTGCCCGGGAGATTAGGGGGGAAGTTGATTTGTCATCTGTGCTGATTGCTTTTGGACGTGTGCTTGTTTCTGAGTTTTGTGGGCAGTCTTTGGCCATGTGTCCTTCTTGCTTGCAAATAAAGTAGTTTAAATTGTCTGCAGAGGTGAATATTCTGTAAGTCGTGTTTTCAAAGGAGAGTAAGAAGGAGGCTGGAATTCTATTAGCATCATCAGGATTTACAAAAATCTGTTGCCTGAAGCTTAATATACAGGCATATTCAGGGTCAGCTGTTCTTAGGGGAGAAATTTTTTAGCATACTTTGATGTTGTTTCTCTTGAAAATGTTTTCAATCTCCGTGTTCGGTATAACTGGTGATACATTAGTAAGGGTCTTATATTTATACACTTGTTATTTATGTTGATTGACTTATGTTGGTTAGTTAGTTTCGTAGCGGTTGGATATTTTCGATATGAATTTTATGGCTCTAGGATCTGTTATTTTTCCTATCGCGAGTGCATAACCTTGGATGCTCACCTTATCGACTGCGTGGATGATAATGCCTTGTTCTTTCATGGGTGCAGAATCATCAGACTATGCAACGTATGAATAAGATTTTATGTGGTTGGTTCTGGTTTGGCTGTTTTCTGCTAGATTTGAAACTGTTAGACCTCTGTACTCAGAAGTCTCGGTTGGTTGGTGTTTGGTTTGTCGTTGAATTCATTGTTATGTTTAATTCCGCGTATACGTACGCGGCGTTGGCACTGTGAACTTTACACTTACACTTACACTTCAGTATCACTACTGTAGGAACCGACGACAGAAAAATATTGAGGGACCCAATAGGAATCGAACCCCGGGACCTTCGGCTTACCAAGTCGAGGCTTTGCGCGTTACGCCAACCACTCCCTCTCTATTCTCCCTTGTCCTCCTTGTGTCTATGTCTCCCTTGTGAGAGATACCTACTCTATCGGACGTTCGTACGGTTTGACGGTTAGGCCAAATCGTCTGACGACAGTGACAGAATTGTAAGACTGTATTCATTTTACGTCGGGAATTATACAAAATGTTATGGCGGACTTTCCAAATGTAAGAGACAATTTAAAAAAACGACTGAAACTTTGTTTACAAGAAAACTATGGCCATATTGAACATCTGTTGTGTTGTGTCTGTTTTTTATGGACACTTGCAGAGGGGACAATAGCGGTGTATGTATGGATTCTTTTATGGATTTTCATGACATGTGTGGATTTGGTATGGACACGTACGGTGTATGCGGGTACTTTTTGTAGACAATTGCGATGTGTACATTTTTTAATTACTTATCCGGGTAGGCTCATGAATTGGAGGAGACATTAATCCTCTCCATTCGGAAATCGCATAGGACGAGCTTTGATATGTTTTTATGAATTTCTGCGAATAGGCAGGTTTAATGTTTAATCTACAATTTTTACGGCGCCGAATGTCAGTTTTCTTTTTTACCGACTTGTACAGAACAAATTGCCATGTATCGTTGAGTTTGGAGATTACTGAACCCCCGTGTCTTCACTTGACCTATATTCGTTGGTGTAAGGAGGTTTGCTAGGCTACAGTCATATTTTTAAACGTTAATAACTAAATAACGAAGCCTCAAATGCAATTTTTTTATTCTTGATTTTCGTCTTATATTGGCTTCCTAGAATCACTCCTTAAATTTTCTACCAGTAGTTGCCGAACACCCTGTATATAAACATATACTATCCAATGAAATATTGTTTCTAATCTTTAAATTTATATCTTACTCTTAATTCTTTTTTTTCAGATATATTACATGTTCCTGTAAATTTAAATAAATTTTGTTTGAATTAAAATTAGAAACATTGTAAATTATTAATTAACAATGAGAATGTTTTTTTCCAACCAAATATTTCGCATCATCCCAATATTGAAGTAATTTTCACTTTAACCTTTGCAGCTGATTAATCTGAGACCTTCTACGAAAGGTCATGTGAAACCTAGACCTACAGCTCGACGAGAGAAAGAGAATCCAACTGGCCTGGTTACGAAACTTGGTGGCACTATTGTGAAGGATGGACTGACTACTGTTCACGAAACTAGTGTGATCGGTACTTACATAAATGGCAAATATGCCCAAGTGCTTCAAAGTTCGTCAAGAATTCTTTCCGGTACGCCGCCGGTGCCTGAGGGCAAAATTCGTCCATCTAATACTCAACGAATCTTGAAAACTATTGGACCACAGCAAGGAAAACTAAAACCGCAACTAGAACCCACACCAACGAATCAACAAGAGGAATCATCACTACCCTTGGAAGTTCTATTTAGTGCCCCAGGTGGTAAAACTTGAAATCTCTATTTAATCATATACAATTACTCTTATTAATATTCGGATACTCTTTATAATAGTAGAACCTTTGTAAAATTGAACCAAACGACTGGTGTTTTTTTGAGAAGTTAAAAGGATTAATTTACTAGTTTACGATTCCCACAAAATGCAATTTTTTTTTTCAAAATTGGTTGAATACGTCATCTACTAATTTTAAAAAGGTTATACTGTATGTATAAAAATATTTTATTTCGATGGTAAACGTTTACATACTTTGATAATACTTTTATAAGAGCATTTAGCTGAATATTTTACGTTTAATTAATAATAAATTTAAAGCATATATTTATTGCATAAATATTATAGAAAGAAACTTATTGTTTCATAAGGAAAAGAATATCGATTTAGTTTTATAAATCTTGCTTTATCGAGAGAAAAATTTTACTAGCATGCCACTAACTCGAAAATTCTAAGTTATACGAATGAAGTTATAAAGAAATATTGTATTTGCTTGTATTATAAAAATTTGCATAAGCTACTCTATTCAAATGTAGTACATATAATGTTCGAGTTAGTGTAATGATTAGTAACATAAGAAGTATTAAATATTAATACAGTATATTTTGTATTAACACGTTCCGTGCCAGACCGATTTTCGGTGACTTTCCGTTCACGCCGCGTGAGTCGTATGCGTCCCACATTGTCGAGACTAACAGTTTTGCTTTTCGCCCTATATGTCTTCCAATATTTATAAGATTGCAAAAATCATTGTTATCGAGAAAAAGGTAACGTTTAAGATATGCTATAGAGCAAAGGAAAAATTTTTGTTTTAACAAATTATCGCCGTAGTTGCATAGTTTAAGTTAGCGGAAGGAAAAGGCCGAAATATCAGATGGCCTGAACGGAAAGACCAGAGTGGGGCGTATGCGACCCACGCGGCACGGAACGTGTTAATATGCAATTGACATAATGTGTGATAAAAATGCATTTACAATATACAGGGTATTTAGCCACACCTGGGAGAAAATTTAAGGGGTAATTCTACATTTCGTTTAAGGTTTTGTGTTTTAGTTATTAACGTTTAAAAATATCCTTGTAGTCGAGCAAACCTCCCTACACCAATAAATATAGGGCACGTCAAGACACGGGTGGGTATAGTGATTCTCAAAACCAACAACAGATGGCCGGCACCTTACCTCGTACATGTCATAGAGATGAAGACAGTGACACTCAGTACCATAAACGGCATCGGCAACTTTTGTCGCTCTACCATCTACTTCACCACAACACCAGCGCATGTCGAAAGGTTTTCAAATGTGTAAATATTCCATTGTGTACTGCAAACAACGTCACTGTGCACACGACAAACACAATACACGCAAATAACTGATAAACAATCACTGTATTCTACGATACATATATACAGACATACGCGCACATACGATATGAAAAGTAAGAAAAAGCAAAACATAAAACAAGTAAAAAAATTATAAATTAAACCTACATTAAAACCACACTAATATGTAATAAATTAAAGTTAACCGACTGACTATGCCAAACTAAAAACCTATTATTTTATAACTATAAAGTAACTAAAAGAATGAAATTAAAATACGCGCTATGTTCGCTAATCTTGTTGAATAGCTGTTTAAATGTTTCACTTTCGTTGTCGAAATGATTTTGTCTTCCCAAAGCTATTCTAACCTTCTGCAAAAATCAGAAAAGACACGATTGATTTCCACTACAGAAAAATATCCTCCAATTGGCTAAAACATGACGTGGTGGTGGTTGAATGTTTATTTAGAAAACAAAATTTACGACATTCAGCTTTCCTTGCCAGTGCCTTTATTTCCTGTGTTTAGCTTAAAATTGACAAGGAACAATCTCAATATCTAAAAGCACGTTTTTATGCAAAGGTATTACAACGAAGAAAGTGAAAACGGTGCCCACCAGATGTATGTATCTAAAAAACGTTGGAAGGTCTTAACCCCTCTTAGGGTATTCTCATTTCAAGGCTCCAAAAATAGACAATCTTCAAGATTTCTTTTTTTTAATAGAAAAAGACATTGTATAACTTGAATCTTTTTGCAATGTATTTTTGAGTTTTAAATGTATATACAAAATTTGGATTAAAAAAATTAATATATCTGTATTAACGGTGACGTGATCTGACAATGAGCCGGTTAAAATGAACGTTTGCTAACTGTGAGCACGATTTCGTCCTTCGTGTTGATATGAAATGAAAAATGAAGTCATTTTTATATTTAGAAAAGTTTTCTTTATCGTCTGTACTAGAATCATTGATATCTGATAACGTAAACAAATATGACAAAAGGGTAAACATAACAATTGAAGTCTTTACGAATTTTTTTGGGATTTCAATCAAATAAAAAAAATTAGAAATTGTTCATAAATCCTTACTAGACTTTTTGGTAGAGTTATTGTCGTGATAACAATAAAATTTTCTTACACACGTTTAATCGGCAATTCCTGGTCCATAAAGCCATCCTTCCTGCTTCTTAAACATCTCTTCCTGCTTCGATCTTTTCAATTATCAATTTCTTTCAATTGTTCTGATTTTTTTTTTAAATTTTAGAAAAAAACGCGCACGATTGGTATCAAACCTTTGTAACTCCCGTACTTTTCAAGATTTCTAGAAAATTCTTTCACATATTTCTTCTAGAAGAACCGTAGAAATTTAATATGTGACAAAAAAAAATCGATTTTTGTCTCCAAACATGAGAATACCCAGGGCCGCATTTATACTTTTGGAAGCCCTAGGCCCAACATTATTACGAGGCTTCAAAAGAACCAAGTCTATTTCAATTAATCAAATTCATAAACATTTCTTTTTAAATTTATTGAAAATGAAAGTCAGCATTTCCATAATAACTCATTTTAATAAAATAAAAATAACACAACGTTGGTATACATATACATATTTGCATTAAGGAAAGTATAAAAATAAATCAGTTCAAATTTACCCTGGCTATCAATTGTTTTATTGTCCGAGAAAGTCCTTGTACTTCAGATTCTCAAAGTACCCGATCTGTGTAGAATTTTCTATGATCCTCCTAGGCGGCACTTAACAAATGTTAATAAATATGTAGTCTGTAGAAATTGCCGTCGATATCGTCCTCTTGACGAATAGCGGGCCCTCATAAATTTGGCGTTTCCGTTTTGTTTATATATTATGAATGTAATATTAAAAAATAAGTATTTTATTTTTCTACCATAACTAAGTTGTTTTTTATATTGTTGTTTGTGAGGAGTAAGGTTTTAAAAATGTGGCCCCATAGAGAGTGACGATGGTAAATACGGCCCTGAAAATACCCCGTTAATCATCGGACGACTGACGCGATGCGACACACAGTGTCTTTCTCAAAAAGCTAGTCAAAATTTGTAATTTCATACAATTTTCATAATAATTGGTATCTTATGTTTTTGGGGTTGCTGAATTCGAATATCTCATCAAAAATGGTAGGATCTAATATCACTGTGGAAATGGATTATTTTCCGATTTTTAACTAAAATTACATAATTAGAATGTCAAATTTAATATGACCACGTTAATTTCAAAACGTTTTTGAAATTGATTATTTTGAAAATTCTATTTTTTCCGATTTTAGTAGAAAACTTTAGTAGGTCGCGTAGTTCAAATATATTGTCAAAAATAATAAAAGGAAACTGTAGATTCTAAGTGTTGTTTGAAACAAAAAATGCTGTTTTATTCATATTCTAATTACTGTCTTTATTTGTATTCTCTTTCCGAATGATCAGAATCCTGTGAACTTATATGTATATGTATATTATTTGTTCGGTATCCGAAATCATTTCGAGCACCTCGAAAGGAATATCTTTCTTTTTTCGAGCAATTACTCCTGAAAGACTGATGTATGGATCAGAATGGAGCAATAATCTTTCAAATATATCCTGATTTGTCTTTTTTTCTAGATATTTTTTGACTATAAGCTCTTTTGTACAATTTACATAGCTTATAGCACGACCCTAGAACATTCGAACGAAGTTTTTTATTATAGAAGGTCCGTGGATCAAAACTTTATGTACCATGTGAGTGGCATACAATACCACGAATACAGTGAAATGCAAACTGCTTTGCTGTATTAATGCAATAGTTTTTAAATTTTGCGTAATTTCAATTAATCTTTCATCGATTCCTACAATTGAAATATTTAACCAATAATAATAACTATTGTGCAAAAATACATATTACGAATAAAATCATTGAAAAAGCAGATCTTTCGGAAGTGGTCTTCTTGTATTGAACTAGCCACTCTAAGCTGAAACTTTGTCAAATTATAATCTTGTGTTGTCGTCTATTATTGCACCCTTCTGTGCCGTCTATATGCTCTCCTCGAAGGACTACAACACGATTTGTACCTAATTTTACTTTATTTAAATGTAAACGAATTACACAGGCCTCAAATCTAGCCTGATTGCTATTATGTTCTGGCAGTGCCTGTCACTGTGGAACTCTATTCTCTAACTGTTACTCTGATTCTCTTAACTATATTCTATGATTCTATATCTCTCTGACTGACTCTGAATGACTATATCTGTGTTCTATGATTCTGTTCTGTCGAAGGAAACGACGCTCCTTCCAATTCGCCCCTTCCTCCTTCTAACTGCACACTAATTGGATATTTTGTAAAATCCCAAAAACCCAATCAGCATGCTTCAGTGACATCGCAAACCCCTTCTCTTGCGCCCTCAACGCAGGTTACTTTGAAGAGGGGATGGCGATGTTCTGAGCTAAGAGTGGCGATGTCTGGCAACAGACTTTGTAGGAAGGTTCGATTTCGTCGGTCTCTTGACCGTTACAACTGTTCTATACCTATGTACCTTTTGGAAGGCCCTTTGTTATAGCAAGGCACTTGGCTATTGAGGACGAGAGAAGTGACTTTCTAAAGTCAAGGGCTGTAAACCATACTTTCTCTCGCCAGGATAATTTTTCTACTTGAGACGCATGCTAACAGTAACCAAAATCTTAATCTCAAAAACAGCCTCTTCCTCACGTCCGTGCCATAAAAGCTACCCTTTTTAGTTTCCGTTTCGTGCGTACGCGTATGTATATGAATATCGTAGTATATAGTGATTGTGTTTCAGCTATTTGTGTGTATTATGTTTGTCGTGTGTATAATGTACGTTGTGTTTGCAGTACACAATGGCATACACATTTGAAAAACTTCCGGCGTGATGAAACAGACAGTAATGCCACAAAAGTCAGTAATGTCGTTCGCGGCGTTGAATATCACTGTCTTCTCTACGATTTATACGAGATATGGTGCTGGCCATGTTTTGTTGGTTTTGAGGATCACTGTACCAACCCGTGTCTTGACGTGCTCTATATGTACTCATTGGCGTAGGGAGGTTTCCTCGGTTGCGGGGATATTTTTAATAGGTTAATAACTAAAACGAAACCTCAAACGAAACTTTTTTATTCTTGATTTTCGTTTTATTTCGCCTTCCAGGAGTGGCCAAACACCCTGTATACATTTACAATGTACAATGTGACTACGTAAAAATGTATAACTGTGACAAAATTTAAATTGTACTCTCATTATTAGGGTCTACGGTTAGAAGCACCCGAAAGAATTCGAATTCAAATTCAGCACGTCCAAAATTCCGCAATAAAATTAACGATGATTACGATACCAGTGCCGAAGTGCAACAGACGAAATCGACTAAAAATCGAAGCAGTACAACCTCGAGACCAAGTTATAAGTGTGTATTGTAATATTGCCTTTATATTTGATTTTACAGTTTATAACGTTGTTTATGGAATACTTTAATGATACTAGAAATAGAAGTCCTCCAACAACAACGACAGAGGCACCCATTACTCGTCGGCGGACCGGCTTTCGACCAAATAATCAGCCGATTTTGCCTTCGAAACTAAGCAATAAAAATAAAAACGAACAACAACCGGTCAGTCCCAACCCTGTGCCGAAATTGAAACTGCCAAGAACGCAGGGTCGCTGGTCTTACAAAACGACTCCTAAACCAAGAATCGTTATTAGAAAGCAAGTGGACGTTGAGGATGAGCAGCGTTCGGCGCCAGAAACTAGCCCGATCCCGCTAAACGTGGACGATAACAAAACTATCACGGCTTCTGTTTCCACATCCACTACCACAACTACACCTATGACTGGTCAGACTAATCCTCAGAGGAAAATTCAGGAAGTAGCAAACGATGATGAATTAGATCCAAGCGAAAGCGAGGATGTGGCCAGTATCAGCATCCAAGATCAACAACATTTTGAACAAATCTTACCGATTGAAACGGTTAATGTTGAAATTTCGACAGCTGCTGACATCAGTAACGCATATTTTGAAATTGCTACCATTAAATCACCATATACATTCCAGGTATAAATATTCTTTTAGAAATCTGCTTTTGCGAAGAAATGTTTGATTTCATTAAAACTTTGTCGATTTAAGTAGGTTTTTCATATTTCAAAATATAATTTGAAGATTGAAACAACCTCCTACAATCTCGCCTCGTAGATACTGTCCTGAAAAATATATAAATATTAATAACATAAACGAAAAGAAATGTACCAAGACGAGAAAGTTTCTTATTTTTCGTAACTTTACAAATCTAAAGCGCCACAACAATCAAAACTTGTAATTCGTTTTTGTTATAATTCGATTTTTAAATAGAATAGTTGTCATACTACATTTACGAAATGAAAAATGAAAAATAGATTATTACCCTGTTTTACATATTGCTCTTATAGTGTTTTCAATAAAATGTCGATTATTTTTAAAACAGGTTGGAACCTTAAGGAATACACGCTATGTCACGGTAACTTCAACAATGAAGAAATCATTTATGACGGCAGGGCCATCTACTGCGATATCACCAACAGAACCTCTAACGGAGAATCTTCTGGCTAATACTGCAGCAGCGTATGAAACAACGTTACCGTTAGATTCAGCCGTAGCAACTTTACCAGCCATATCTCTGGAATCTGGCCAAGCGACCCCACCATTGGAAATTTTGACGGAAACCTTCTCGACCACCCAGACTCTCTTAAAAACCCACTTGCTTCCAGTAATTTATGGTGGTAACACAACAAAATTAACACTCGTACAAACATACAATATCGCACGTGTGGTTACTGCGACGAAGACTCTACCTCCGATGGACATCTATCAATTTATTCCCAGCAAAGCATTAAACGAGTTCAACTCCAAACTTGATGAAGCTGGTAGTGAACTTCATCTGGAATTAGACGTTGGTGACGAAGACAGAGATGACGATGATATTCCCAAAAGAGTGGTGGCTCCAAGTAGCAATATGGATTCTGACCTGGAGCCTTTCAAATCCATTTCAGCATCAAAGGTAAAGTCGGAAACACCAAGCAGCAGTTCCATTGAATCTCAACTATCCCCCGATCAGCTGGCTCTGCTAAAATACTTCGGTCAGCAACAGCAGCCACAGGTGATCACCACTTCGCGACCAATAGTTGTTCTCGACACTCTTTACGAGTCCCACGTGATTCCAGTGGTGAATAACGGAAACACAATTTATTCAACGTTATCCAGGCCAGTCGGGACTGTGCCGCGGACGTCTTATGAATACGGAACATCAACAATTGCACCAGTTCTACCACCTCAACTACCGCCACAACTGCCACCACAATTGCCGCCACAATTGCCGCCACAATTGCCGCCACAATTGCCTCTATTTCCACAGCAACCACAGTTTACTGTGACAAGCACTCCCCTGATCACGCAAACACTGGCGACTATGTCCGACTCTAGAATATTAAAACTGACATTTGGAGCGAAAACGGCATACACTACTTTATTCTCTAGCAGAGTAGTGCCAACCGAGGTCACCACTTATGTTACAACTACCGTACCTGTGCAACCAACTGTCCCAACCTTTCCAGGTTACTATCCCCCGCCTGTTGGCTACCCACCTTTCTCCTTTGTAGGGTAGAGGACAAAGAAAATTTTCTCGATTCACGCTAATTGTACGAAAATATGAGCTGCTTTAAAGGTGATCAAAAGACGAAAGTGATGATGTCTATCGAATGGTAGCTATGATTTGAAAATATGTGCAACAAAGAAAAGTGATAATAATTATTAAATTATTATTTTAAACGCACAATTTGATCGGTTAATTTAAACGAGTTCTTTTTCCGTACATACAATTGGTACTTCAGTAGAGTCTTATTTAACGTATTTAAAAACTAGCACTTGGTATTAATATGTAAGGTGCAGGGTGTAAAAGAATTAATGGTCACGGCTTCAGGGGTTGAATCTAGACCCTTGGATCGGTGGACATTTGTAAAAAAAAGTTTCCGCAAAATTGTTTATAACATTGAAAATTAATGTTAAATTTTTTTTTTACATCAACGTATTCTACTCGACGAGAAGAGAAAAAGTCTGAAAAGAGCCATATTCCGCAAACAAATAGTTTCCGAGATAAATGTTGATAAAGTTTGGCAACGATTTGATTGAGTAAAGCTATACGTACAGATTAGGACCTACTAACACAGCCGCTGTCCTACACGGCTAGTCCTACCAAATGGCAGAGTGTTAGTAGGTCAGTAGCTCCTATACGTATAGCTCTACACAATCAAATCGTTGCCAAACTTTATCAACATTTATCTCGGAAACTATTTGTTTGCGGCTATGGCTCCTTTCAGACTTTTTCTCTTCTCGTCGAGCAGAATACGTTGATGTAAAAAAAAAATTTAACATGAATTTTCAATGTTATAAACAATTTTGCGGAAACTTTTTTTTACAAATGTCCACCGATCCAAGGGTGCAGATTCACCCTCCGAAGCTGCGACTATTCATTTTTTTACACCCTGTTATTTTCGAGGAATTTACATATTTTTCGATGTGTTTTTCATTGTTGTTGCTAATCGAAACACAGAGAAACATATTTGTCCTTCTGGTCTGCAATGTGTCGAGTCTTGCTTTTGTTCATATGTTATAATGAGACATGCGTTTATGATAAATCGTTTCTGCAATTTGGGACTTTTCAAATGATAAATAACAAAACAGTATATTTCTTTTACTAAAAATAGAATAGAATATTTCTTAGTAAAATCATACGCTTACAAAGACTGACTAATTTTAAACAAAACTATATGCATTTAATATTTACTGTATATGTGCTAAATATGTATCATTCTTATTAAAAAACTATAAGAAAGTATTACGTATTTCCTTTGAATCAAATTAATTAAACGTATAATGCGTGGCATGTCACATTACGACACATGAGCAATGTAATCAAACAAAAAGAAATGCAAATTATACTTCAAATTTCTCATGACTATACTTATAAATATTTTATATGTACTTCGATAATTCATACTTTATATTGAAATGTATGATTAAATAAGTAAAATCTAAATATTATTGAGATATTTATTTAAAAATGTTTTCAATGATATTTTTGTCATTTTTCAGTTTAAGATGAAACCAAGTTTCTAGTTGTAGCATTAAATATATGTACAAACGTGCATACATATATGCTTAATGAGAATTTTTACTTATAGATCTTTTTGACTGGTTGTTCAATTCATTTAAACAGTGCTTAATAATTACAT